GAGAGAGAGAGAGAGAGAGAGAGAGAGAGAGAGAGAGAGATCTGATTAAACAGCCACCAATTGAATCAGCATGGCAGAGATAAGAGCCAACAGCTTGGTCACTATACATGTTTGGATTACAGGTACCTGAGGAGTCTCAGAAATGCCAGAATCAGCACACAGGGTTCAAGGGTCACTGGGATCAGAGGTCAGATTAATGAATTTGGTTCAGAGTTAGCAGCAGACATCTAGGGCAGGGATTGAGAGCATCAGTCTCTCTGCTGGAAACCTGATCTGGACACTGGATCCCATGTGCTTCTTAAGTCTTCTGAAGTCTCACGTCTTCTCTTAAGTCTCAGCTGAGGTGACTTGGTGATAGCAGCAGACTTTTCCTCGCGTCACTATTGGAAGGATTTCACGGAACAGTCTTTCAAGTGCTTGGCATAATGCCTAGCACCACAGAGACCAGGCACATGTTTGGGACAACAGATAAAGGCCATGTTCCCCGTGTACCCAAACTTGTTCTCCAGATTTAGCCAACAGTTTGACTGACATTGTTCTCTAGCTGTCCAAGAATGGGGAAGAAAGCTTTCAAATGTCTTCTGTGACAAACCTGCATTAAGGACACCTGGGTCCCTTTCTTGCTTCAGTACTCATCAAGGTAGAATTCTTTTTTTTTTTTTTTTGCTTCTTTCAGGGTGGGGATGCTACTGTGTAGTCATGCCCCCTGTGAGAGGAGTTGGTTTTCCTTTCAGATTCACACATTGGCATTCCGTTTGTTGTGTATTCAGCAAGAATTTGCTGCCCAGGCTTTGCCCAACTCTAGGAACTAACATGCATACTGAAACATAGTCCCAGAGATGCAAGGTGGGGACCAAAATGTGAACTGAGGTCCAAACTGTAGGGGGACATCCTGAAGGACACCAACTGCTGGGAGAGTCTGCTCACTCTGTCTTTTCTAAAGAACCTGCCCTTCCTAAAGTGAATGGGCCTATCTTGAGACCACTGGAGTTATAAGGAACTACATATACACAGTTCAGTTCAGGTCCGAGAATCACTGGCTTCTGAATCCAAATTCAGAACCTGACTTCAAACATGTGCAGAGAAAGAGACAGAAAACTGCCCTGATAATCCTCCTCCATTAGCTGGAGCTAAGCCATGATAATTGTGTTTTGCTATATTTATGTAATGAATACAAAATACATAAACTATTAACTAAGAATGCAGACAGGACTGGAAATTCCTTGCCAACAGTTTCAAAGCCCCTGCTTGAAGTCAGATCTCTTCCATTACTTACATTTAATCCTCACAAGCACCCTCTCGTGGGGATCACAGATGAAGAGATCTTTGGATTACAGAGAGGCTGGGGAGATGGCACAGTTGGTAACGTGCTTTCCACAGAAGCATGAGAACCTGATTTCCAATCCCCAGCTCCTGTGTTAATGTTGGACATGGCAGCGCACATATACAACCCCAGCACCACACTGGGTGCATTGGGGGAGGGCAGGAGGGTCCCTGGAGCTCACAGGCCAGTCAGTCTAGCAGAATCAGTGAGCTCTAGGTTCAGTGAGAAACTTTCTCAAAAATGAAGGTGAGAGCAACTGAAAAAGACACCCAACACCAACTTCTGGCCTCTGTATGCATGCACACACGCATGCATATACACCCAAACACATATGAACATACACAAACAGAGGAAAAAATAAATATAGATAAAATGAAGGATTGGAAGCCCAGCAAGGTTGGAACATGCTTGCACACTCATTTGGCCATCCAAGGACAGAGCTGAGGAAAGGATCTAGGTCCGAGCCATCTTTGTACTGCACTGTTGAGGGTTTGTGAATACCCGTATGAGGCATGCAAAGGTGTCAGAGGCAGAAATCCAATGAGCCTTGTGCTTTTGTCCAGGGAGTGAAGAGGGAGGGCTGCTGTTGAGCAGTCAGAAAGCAGCCCAAAGCATCCTATGATACATCCACAGACAGGGAAGCCCCACATCTAGAGACACACTAATGCTAACGTGATGCTGTGCTTTTAACCATTCTTCTTGCTCCACTCGATTCTTTGGGTGGGATTCATCCAGAAGGCCCTTAAATAAAGAAACCTAAATGCACGTGTGTACAGTGATTTGTACTCCTTCTGCAGGCTCGTGTAACACAGCACCAGTCATCACGTAGGCTCCTCTTATGTAACCTTTACAACCAGCAGGTGACAACCCTGTCCAACAAGTTTCTGAGTTCACCTAGGAGAACACAACAAGCATACTTCCTCTGATAGCATGGTTTCGTGTTTCCTAAAACCAATGCTGGGTTGTCATGGGGAACTGTCATGGATTTACAGAAAAAGAAATGCATAGCATCCCTCCCACCCCAAAACCCTGTCCTCAGGGAGGATGTGAGTAATATCTCTACTGGTACAGGTACACATCCCATGATTCATCTGGAGGAAAGCAGAGGCAGCTGTTCAACCTGGGGCTGTTGGCACCTCCGGTTTATTGTACCGATCCTACAGCGTGTGGGGATGGGATGGTGGGTGACAGGGAGGAGCCACATTACACAGACTAGAAAAAGAGTGATAAGGGACACAGGCCAGTGCTCACCTGCCACTCATATGGATTCTCCATATGAGCTGCAGAGGCAGCAAAGCATGCAGTTGCTGCTAAGAAAATGAGTCCCTCACATTCTAAGTGGATTCCTCAAATTCTTCTGGAGCTCTTCTGTGAGAAGAGGAAGAAGAGGAGAACGGGGGGGGGGGGCAAGGAGTTAGAGCTAGAGACCATTAGTGAGTTCAATATTCCCAAAGTGCTACTGAGTAATGCCCTTGGAAGGGCTCTGAAGACCTAAGGGACAATTTAGTTTTCTTTTTCTCAGAAAGTTCCTAGAGTAACCCTCTTCTGCTCCCTCTGAGGCTGCCTTTGCATCTTTTCACCCTGATGTGTGCATTAATAGAAGTCATGTGTGGATTGCTACCAGGATCCCTAGATGTCCCTTGTCCTTCCTACTGGTTCAAATCATGACTGTACTCAGATGGCAGACAGACAGATTGTTGTGGAATGCATATTGAGATCTAAAGAGAAGATTCCTTACCCTATGGGTGCAGCATTGAACAACCATAATGATTGTGACTTTGTTATTGTTAATATTCTATCTACATTTGTGTTTGAACCAATCACTTCCAGCTAACCAATATATTATTTATTGAACACATATAACATGCAAAATTAAAATGATAGCAACAACAGCAATACCACTAATTTAATACTTTCCTGATCTTTAATGCTTTAAAATTTTTAAAATTTCAGGCAGATTAGTAAATTCTGGGTATGCATTATTTTATTTAGTCTCCATAGCTAAACTTAATCTGAATTCCACAGATGAGGAAAATGATAGCCAAGTACAATATTAGATGATGCCAGAGCTGCGTAAACTGGTTCACACTCAGAAGTTGCCCACAGGGAGGCGTCCTTCCATGAGTCTTTACTAGTCATTGTTTGGGGACAAGTGCTTACCCAGTCACTAGAGATGTGAGGATTCTGAAGTCCTGACTCAAGCAATTTTCCTTCTGAGGGACCATGACACCTGCAGAAGCAGCTCCCAGACAGCTCACTGTCTCATCACTCTTGGAGCAGCAGTGTCCTGGATTTTTGTTTGCTTGTTTTTATGTTGTTTCCCAACTGGACACAGGTAGAATTATCTGGGGACAGGAACATAAATTGAGAAAATGCCACCATCAGATTGGCCCATGGGCCTTTCCTTGATTGGTAATTGATGTCGGAGGGCTCCAGTCACTGTAGGTGGTACTACCCCTGGGTTAGTGGTCCTAGGTTGTATAGAAAAGCAGGCTGAGCAAACCAGGAGCAGCAAGACCATAAGCCACACTTCTTTGTGTTCCCTGCTTCAGTTCCTGTCCTGATTTCCTGCAATGATGGGCTGTAACCTTTGAGGTGAAATAAATCCTTTTGTCCTCAAGTTGCTTTGATTATGGTGTTTATCACAACAACAGACATTTAGCTAAGACAAGCACTTTGTGGAATGATCCCCCAGGGAGTCTGTACTGTAGAATTCCCTGGAGAACTTTATAAAAAAATTATATAAATGAGGGCCGGGGAGATGGTTCATGAGGTAAGGGGCTTGTCACAAAGACTGACAGCCTGGGTTTGATTCCCCACGATCCCACATGATGGAAAGAGAGAACTGACTCCAGCAAGTTGTCCTCTTACCTCCACCCTCACCATATCCCCACCACAATCAATCAATCAATCAATCAATCAATCAATCAATCAATCAATCAATGATTTTTAAAAATACAAAAATTAGTCCTGAGCAATTTGTACCAAGTCCTACAGAATCTCTGGAAGTGAACTGTCTGAGGAATCTGTGTCTCTATGAACCAAAAACTCCCCTAGATGGGTCTGGCAATTGGTCAGGTATGTGTGTATTCATTGCTATTGAGCATGAGATCACAGGCCAGGGCTATCTTCCTGTGGTGCTCTGAACACAGTATGTAAGTAGCTGGTGTTCTCATCTGCTTCCAGCTAAGACTTCCAAATGTTTGAAGCCTGGACTCATGTTCTGAGATACATATTATATGTATGGATACTGAGGTATATGGCTGTGTAAACTGGAACAAAATATGATAGTGCTGACTGTTATAGTAGATATGCACTCAGATATCCCCCGCCTTCCACTCCGTTCTGACGTTTTCAGTTCATGATAATGAACATTGGCCACACCTAATTTTTTCAAAACTAGGTGCTCAGCCACAGTTTGGGCCAACATTCTAGTGTCCTAGAATGCTACTTTCATGCAGTGATGTGCTCTCTGGGAGCTTGGTGTGGAGACCTCATTCCCTTTCTGTAAATAAGGTGATCTCCAACCTCTTGACTACTGCGCATGTGTTGACCAGCATGTGTCTCCCTAGCTGCTCTTCGGTATTATCAGTTTTCTTTCCCTAGATCAACATGCCATGCCCCCTCCCCCCAACATCTTTGGTTTAACTTGGACCAGCATCTCCATATATCCTCCATTCCTCTTTGGCCCGGGAGCCAGAACTGGTTCCAACAGACATACCCTGTATGGACTGAGATTCAATAAAATCAGACACCAGTTTCGCTTGTGGTTTGCTCTGTTTGAAGCATTACTAAGGAAAAGAAAGAAAAGAACCGCTTAGTGTATCCAAGCAATGTTCTCTTGAGCCAATCATCCGACACGTGCTGGCTGTACACGTAAGGACCTGCGAGGTAGGTGGAAGAGTCTTTTAAAATTCTTTGTTGTTGTTGCGTTTTCTTTGTAATTTTGATTTTCTTTGTGCACACACAGAGGTGGAGAAAGAAAGACAGGGCAGGCAGATGTCAGTACAGCGTGTCTAGGTGTGTCTTAAGCTTTCACCTTTGTGCTGACATGGAGTGTGGGGAAGAGACAAGACTGTCACTTCAATAGTCTATCCATTGGGAGCTCACCTTGACATCTCAAGAGCTCCCAATTCTCAAACTCAAGAGCTCACCTACCTGCAGAAATCTGGTAAATATTTCTTAGCTCTGGAATCAATCTATTTTAAAAATGAAAATGACAGAAACCACTATTCTACCTGGCTTAAGCCCTAAGTGGAATTTTAAAACTTATATCCATATTTCTGTTCATATATATTTATATCCCTAGGCTGGGTGAGGTGGTACATATCTTTAGTCCCAGACTTGGGAGACAGAGGTAGGGGAATCTCTATGAGTTCAAAGACAGCCTGGTCTACATTTATAAGCTAGCCAGGGCTACATATTCAGACCCTATCTCAAAATAATAAATAAATAAATTTCTGAAAAGTTCAGGGTGCAATGGATGGGGTGAGAACTTGGTTCCTCCCATTCTTGACTCTGTCTTGGTGGCAGGGCTTCAGACAATTTGGTCATCCCCACATGTTCCTTGTTCTTCCAGCAAGGTGACAGCCTAGGACTGACATCTTCTTGCAGTGAGGTGGAGAGTTTGTGGCCACCTTGACATCTTTATTCAGAGGTGACACTGAGCCCCAACACCGCTTCCCATATCTGTTCTCTAACCAGCCCTGGTGTTCGGGATGGCACAATGAGCAGCCTGGCATTGACCTGAGTGGTGTGTTGCGCCCACCTGAGGGTGAACATGGAACAACTCCTTGTGTTTTCTCCAAGGTTGAAACATTCTATCCTGTAGGGAAGCTTTAAGACAGAAGGGAAACATAGCTTGAGGAAATACCTGAAAGTAACCAGAGTCACCAGGCTGCTCCTTCCCAAGAGTAAACAATAAACTCTCAGACAAGCCAGGCTGCATAGAACGTATTGAAACCAAATCGGCTGTCTAGAAGAAGCAGAAACCTTTGGAGCTGCCTAGAATAGGCTTAGACCAACTGAGGCACCTGGAAAGGACACTCTCCAACCTGCGAAGCTGTCTGCAGGCTGTGTGTGCAGTGTGCTCTATGTTTCTGGCTCTGTGAGCTGTCACCCCTGCTGGGGAGGGCTTTGGTGATGCAGCTGTCTTTAAGTCGTTTCTGCTCCTGTAAGTGACCCCTCCCCCACACTCCTGTAAGTAACCCCAAAGAAACTCTTGAGTTCATCAAGCTGGACTTCCGGTAGTCTGTCACGGGCTTCATATCTGAGGTAGGTAAGACATGCATGTTGCATCTCCCCAGAAGACGTCTTGTCACACAGCACTCCTGTAGGCCCTAAGATCAAATACAGTAAGGGGTGAAAATGGGAGCTGCTGAAGGAGATGCTATGGTGAGGGAAGACAGATGGATCAGGTTAGAGACAATAGTTTTGGGTTCGCAGGAGACCTCGACCTGGGTCCTCAGTTTGCAATGTGGACGCTGAAAAGAGACATGACTCGTCTAAGGACCTTCAGCTAATCCATCATCTATGGACTTGGATTGTGGAATTTCTCCTAAACCTGACCATTGTTCATTCACCTAGAAAAATGCTTATTAAGATCGGATGAAATGGTAGATACTGTCCTAGGTACTTAAGATACATCAGTGATCACCTAAGGCTGGTTTCACTTCTTAGCTATTGTGAATAGTGCTGCAGAGAATGCCTGCATGCACATGTCCTGTTCATATGATGACTTCATTTCCTTTAGGTAGAAACCTCAGGAGTGATACAGCAGGGCCCAGTGATCTTTCTAGTTTCAGTTCTGATTGAGTGACTACGTAGTAACTGTTCAGAGGTACTTTCACTAGCAATGCATGGACTTCTTTTTCTATACTCCCTGCCAGTGTGTGTGTCTGTGTGTGTGTGTGTGTGTGTGTGTGTGTCTGTGTATCTCTCTGTGTGTGCATATGTCTGTGTGTAGTGGAGGCTGTTTGAGCCATGCCCTGAAGCACCACCCCAGTGAGGTAGCAGGTAACTGTTACATCTGCCTATGACCTTGAGGTACATGCCCCCAAGGCATGGCCACTGGAGGACCCTTAAGAGCTGGGATGCACATAATGCTCTCTCTTTGCTACCTCGTGGTTTTGGGTGCTGGAATGGACCAGGCAGACCCCTCCCAATGCCTCACCCTTCCAAGGTCCTGTGACAAATTCCTTTATTCTGTCTTGTGAGTTAACCCCCAAATAAATTTCTTTACTCATTTAATAGACTCTGTGGATTGCTAGAGATATAATCCCAACATCTGTGTGTGTGTGTTGTGTGTGTGTGTTGTGTGTGTGTGCATGTGTGTGTTGTGTGTGTGTGCGTGTGTGTTGTGTGTGTGTTGTGTGTGTTGTGTGTGTGTGTGTGTGTGTGTGTGTATTGGTGTGTGTGTGTTGGTGTGTGTGTGTGTGTGTGTGTGTATTGGTGTGTGTGTGTGT